AAGGTTTGTGAGCATGCGCAGATGTCCGTTACGCTCTATTAGTTCGTAGTAGACTGGCCGCGTAGTCAAAACGAAAAATGCCTAATGCAAATAGGCCTACCGGTTAGGCTCATTGCCAACATTGTTGTAATATAACCATTCAAAGAAAGCGAAATTTTGAGTGATTCAATATAATCTACAATTCATATTCACCCTAAAACGATATGCCTACTTACTATATGATGAATGCGATTTCGCCTAATCCCGAAATTGTGGCCTATTTATAACAATAAACAATTGGTTTCAGTAAATAGTTATTTTTCATCAAGTCACCATCTGGCCTAGATGGATATTAGACTAAAGCGCAATTGACAACGTTACCATGTTACATTGATTGTAATACATTGATTGTAATACATTGCTTCTGTTACACAGATAATTTTTGTACTGCAAGGTCCCACAAATCAAATGCGTAAACGTCCGGTACGTAAACACATGCGTTTGTGAGATAAACGCGTATTCTTGGCCCTGTTGTGATTGGTCAGTTGCTAAGCTTAATTGACACTCGAGAAAAAACCATTCCTCTGAAACCATGGTGTTCCGATTTATGGTCAATTGTCACTGCATTTGACAAATCTGCTGTATATATATATATAATCCTAACTGTGGTTTCAATGTGTTTAATTTCGTTGTTAACTGTATCAACAGACAACTACTGTATACTATTTCCATACCTATATAGCCTATGTGATACCATTGATTGATTAATAGTATTCAACATCGTTTTTCTTGTAAATACCTAAAACACAGTACCGTATGTTGAAATGAATACGTTTAAGATCGTAAGTAGTGGTTTACGCATTTCATGTGCTAATGAAACTATCTTGATGCAGTATTAGCAATGTTTACTTTTAGATACCATAGCTTTTTATTTTATCAAATTGTGTATGTGGGCCTGTTTGATTGTCATAATATTCTTTATCAGTCTTGTTTGTTTTAGAAGCAAGTTAAAAAAAACGTAAATAAAAAAAAATATTTAATACATAAATAAATTAGGTTCTTGATTGAAGTTGACAAAATAGATCTTAGTATTGGTAACTTTTTGGGGTCTCCAGAAGTTTTGTAAGTTCAACATTCAACATTTGAGTCTTAGCATATTAAAGTAATATTGGTTATGGTTAGGAAGCACCTGGCCTAGTGTCACATCCTTTAAGCCAAAACTGACAAATGAGCGCAAGCCCGTCTTACCTGAAATGATAGGAAACAAGCAAATTAATTACGTCACTGCTTTTACCATTTGTTTTAAGTGTGTTCTCTGTCCAGCAAAGTATAATTAAAAACATGCGATATGTTATGATAACAATGAATGCTAGTAAAGTATTATTATTATTAAGAATTACAATTATATACATATATGTATATCTAGAAGACTCACACTCTTAAAATCAAGTTATAATAAATATTTATAGGCCCTTATGTATATATATATGTATATCATTGTTTTGTTTCAACGACCTAATATATATATATATGTATGTATATATGTATATATAATATGTATGTTTATATGTATGTATAATATATATATATATATTATGTATATGTATTTGTATATATACACATACATATATACATATATATATTATATGTATATCATTGTTTTGTTTCAACGACCTAATATATATATATATGTATGTATATATGTATATATAATATGTATGTTTATATGTATGTATAATATATATATATATATTATGTATATGTATTTGTATATATACACATACATATATACATATATATATATATAGGCCTATATACATATACTGTGTCACAAATGTAAATGAGTGACATATCCATTATCATTATTACAGAAATTTGCAAAACACTGACAAAATTATAGGCCTACGTGGCATAACAATTAATATGAACTTCGACTAATTACAAATAAATTAATATAATACGAATTTCATGAAGTAGTTAGCTACAAAATTAGGTCTAATCTGGACATAAAATAATAACATCAGTGAATCAAGAGAGGAAATGAAATGTTGAAATCACTTGTCATATAAAGCCTAGCAGCAACTGGCTTGCTGGCCTTTGTACATTTGTTCAAACAAACACGAATATGTATGCGTTAACTATGCGTTTCAAATCAATTGGTTCTAACGCGTTTCTTGATCGCAAAACTGTTGGACACACGACGCGTGACGATTTGCTGTTTACAAACCTTAAAAGCTAAATAATCTATATGGAGGAGACGCACGGTTCGTTGGTCACGCCGGTAATGTTAAGATATAAAACTAGCATCCTCTACTGATTGTGACTGGTCAATCACATCACGTAATCAGGAAAAACGTTTTAATTTAGAATCAACTTTAATAGTTATGGAAATAGGAATGAAGAGTTAGTGGACGCATTGAGTGACGGAATAAAATCTACATACTGTACAAGTAAGTAATATTTCGAAGTTTTGAAACGATTACAGATGACAGTAAATCACAATTATGTTTTAAGTTTTTACCTACTTTATAAGAACAATAGAGCGTATAGTGAAGAGTGTAACACGAAAGAACAGGGTTGCATATTTTGAAAGCGGTGTGATTGTGTGTTTTATAAATTTCATGTAGGCCTAAAACGTTTTTAATTACCAAAATCTCTAAGTTTAGGTTGGTGTAAGAGAAGTAATTTTTTAATAATTAGACGACAAACAAATATTCATTATAGACATAAAGAACATCATAAAACTAGCATCCTCTACTGAACACATCACGTAATCAGGAAAAACGTTTTAATTTAGAATCAACTTTAATAGTTATGGAAATAGGAAGGAAGAGTTTGTGGACGCATTGAGTGACGGAATAAAATCTACATACTGTACAAGTAAGTAATATTTCGAAGTTTTGAAACGATTATAGATGACAGTAAATCACAATTATGTTTTAAGTTTTTACCTACTCTATGAGAAGTATAAAGCGTATAGTGAAACTATAAGCACCACATGTGGTGCTTACTATAAGCACTATAGAACTATAAGCATCCCGGTATAAAAATACAATATTGTTTGCGACTTTAAGAATGGCCCGGGTCAAAAAGTTAAATGACTGCCTGGACCTAATAACCTGTATTATCTGGGAGCACGCTGTGCATTTTTAAAAATAAAGTATGATTATTGGTTGACGGAGTGACTCATAGTGTACGATATAGATAAAAATTGAATTGAATGCAATTGTATCTCCATAATGCACATTCTCCTACTGAGAAAGAAAATGTTGGTTAGTAATATCATGGAGCTCTGGTTACAAAGACTTAAGAAATTTGAGGCCGGTTTTCATAATAATTCTGCATACCGACATATTTGAGTAATACCTGTATATGTGAATGAATTAATGGATACACAAAACAGCTACCACCCGTATATCTAAAGCAAATGCGTTTCTTCACTCAAAAATGACAAAATAATGATTGTATGTCTGGTGGCAACTGGACTGGTCTCTTATACACATCT